AAGTAGCAGCTTGTATGTCCTACTCTTCTCACAGGGCTGTTATCCAGCCTCACCACATGCGTGATGCCATTCAGACTTTAACTAGTCCCCAGAGCTTGCCTCTTGGGAGAGAACTGTCTGGGCAACTCAAAGCAGCTCCCTTGCATTGTGACTTTTGCAGGCTGTGGGGAGCTGCCTCCTCCCCCACCCAGCTCTGGCTCTGGCCTGTGTGCTCTCTCATTCTCTTCAGCTCCTGCTCTGACTGGCTGAGAGGCAGGGCCATGGTCTGCAATACAGGCAGGCATGCAACAGGGTGACAGCATATCAGCTCCCCTCCACATACATGCAAAGTACTTGATGCTCCTGAGTCCTCATCCCCAACTCCTTCCCCTAAGGCAGAAGGAAGGAATCCCCTCACCCCAAACGTGCTCTCCCACAAAGTCCATGCTAAGATTCTCTGAGTGTCACCACCCAGTCATTTCTGTTGCCCAGGGAAGGTGGGAGTGGAAGGGCTGGGGTGATGGTTGCTGAAGGTTAGACCAGTTCTGGGCTTTCTTGTGAAATCCTGGGACAGAGGTCTGGTCCCAACTATGGGTAGCTCTCTTTAGGACCTAGTGTCCCAGATTTGGGCTCCAGTCATCGATTCCAGCATAACATGAATCGCATTCAACATCCTATTACATAGACATAATGGGTTGGGGAAATGGAATGTACCCAGCATCGGGTCTACTGCAAAGTAGAGATAGAGGATGGGGCAGGGATAAGAAAAGCAAAGAGCATATCAGTCCCTCAGAAAGGGCAGCATAAAACACGCCCAAGGGTAATAGTCCTCTCATCCCTGAAGACCCAGCCTGGCAGGGGCCAGCTTGACAGGTTCCAGGGGTGTAGAGACTTGGTGCCTGGCACAGGATGATCCCTTTGCCATACTCCTCACTGACAGGGTCTTCCTTCCCAAGCCTCCAAAACAAAAATCCCTCTGAGCAGAGGGGCCTATACCCCACACTGGAAAAGCCATGACTGCCTGGTGGGTGTTTTTAATTCAGAAGGGGAAGTCATTCTCCTGTGAATAATCTCCATACTCGAGTGTGGGGGTCGGGTGGAGTGCTGCGGGGATCTAGAAAGACGAGGAAGCTGCACCTGAGTGGGAAATACTCTCAATCCTGTATCCAGCAAGCAGAGCTGAGTAAGAGCCTGGAAAGTTCTGCCAGAGGCAGTGACATGAGCTCAGGCCCTGAAGCCTTTTGCCTCAAACAGTCACCGGCTAAATCTTCATGAACACATCTGCAACGTGAGATGACACCTTTCTCCTTTCTGGCAGCTGGAGGAAAAGCAACCAGGTGAGAAATTCTGCTTCTGTCCAATGCAGGTCAGGGGTAGGTCAAAGCAAGACCTGGGCTGCCCCTTTCTCCCAAAGTGCACCTGCAGGACTGGTTTCACCCGGATTACACATGCATGCAAACCAGCAGTTGGCTTCCTGAAAGTTAATTATTGGGTAATTAATTAAACATTAGAGAATATGCCCAAGCTGCTGCTGAACTATATCCAATGGGCAGACGAAGGAGCCTCATTCCTTTCCCCTGCCTCGAACCCACCCTGTGTGCTGGACCACAGGGATTGAGAGCTGGGCAGGGGCCAGCATGGCCATGGGCTCCACAGGCCACAGCTCACATACAAGCTGCTACTTTTCTAAATATCATTCTTCACTTTAAGGGACCAGGGATCCTTGCGAAAGTTGCTAATTCAAGGCTGGGGCAGAGAAAGTACAAAATGAGTCTGGAATATCCTGTACCAGAAAATAGGGAAGTGCTAAAAAAAAATGTCAAGGGTGTGTCAAAAGGACATAAGAGGTAGCTTAAAGGGGCTTCCACCAGCCAAATAAGTAAATAATAGCAATAGAATATTCAAGGAATAGAATAAGAATCTGAGTTCATACAGACATAAAGAAATAAATTAACTGATTTCATTCATTCTTTCTTTTTTTCTTTGAGACAGGGTCTTGCTCTGTCATCCAGGT